CATAGTAAAACAAGTCTTATCGAAAGTTTATTATTATGATGTTAGTTGAAGTATGATCAAATAGCATAGAAGAATAGAGCATTCTTTTCTCTATCAAACTATATAGAAAGAAAGTTTCTTAAAGCCTTTTATAAAGAATTCAAGTACCTCCGTAACTATTTTTAGTATGATCTGAGTAATAAGGATGATATGTTTGATATGAAGTAAACATAACATCTATCGACAATTTCACCAAGCTTGTATGAAATATACAGATAATTAAACTTGATACATTCAATACTTGAACTATATTAGACACTCTATAGTTCATAATCATATGAATATATTTTCTAAAATTATGTTACACATAAAGTTCTACTATTGACAAATTTTTATTTTTGTTATATATATATAACAACGAGCAGTTTATTGATTTAATTGAAAAAATTTTTCTGCATATCTGTTACACAATAATCATGAATAACAAGCAAATTTTCGATATTATCATTTTGTCTTTATTTATCAAAAAAAAGAAAAACAATACTAGATGAATAGACAAAAAAGAAAAAGCCTGAAAAGATTATGAAGGTGGCAGACGTCGATCATAGATATGATCAAATAATGGATTATGTATTGAATCAAATACGAATCGATCTATTTTACTAATGTATCCATTTTGAAAATCACGAGCATACATTGATTTTCGATATGCTATTTTTTGAAATCCAATCCAACCATTCTAATATGATTTATGATAATAATAATTAAAATTTAAAAAAAAAAAAAAACAATTCAATATGTTTTTATTACCTTACATCGAATGCATATGCATTCAAGTGATTTATTATAAATTGCTGTTCCTGGTTGTGATGATATCACATTTAAATTATCAATCAAACTTTGATCTGTAATTAATGTTAATAATTTTAAACGAACAGGTTTTTGACGAAAACTAGTTCGAAGATTAGCCTAAAATATAATGAATATAGAAAAAGAAAATAGATTTTTAAATAATTTATATAACATACAATATCATTGAGAGCTCGATACAATCGATCAATATCTTCAATTGTATGATTATACCAATCGATATAAAATGCATATTTATTTAATTTATGAGCTAAAAAAGTAAAAATTTTCAACACAAAAATTTATGGAAGTTAAGATAATTAAATAGAAAGATCAGTAGTAGAGCTACATAAGATTCAAATTCTAATGTCATGTCCTGCATTTTGACATGCTCTTTCATACGAAAAAGAAATTAAATCTATAGAATGAAGGCTCATAGAAAATTTCGGATTTCTCGACTACAATCCCAATATATATTCTTTTATAATATTACCATAAGTAATTCCTGATGACGATTGTTCTTGAGCATTTTGTCGTGCTTTAATTGGATTTTCAAGAATAATCTTCAACTAAAATAATAAACAATAATTTTTATAATAACTATTAATCTGAATTTACCAAAGAACAACCAACATTTGCAGTCATTTTAAGTAATTCAAACATTGTTATATTAGTTGATAATGGAAATGATTGTTGCATTAATATAGGTCCAATATCAAAACTAATTGATTAAGACCAAAATTAAAACAAATATATATATATTATGAAAAATAATATTTTATACACTTACTCACTGTTTGGGTCGAATATCCATAATAGAAACACCACCAATTTTATCTCCATTAGCAATAGTATAGATCAATGGAGAACTTCCACGCCATCGTGGTAATAAACTTGGATGAACATTAATTATTCCTCTAGTGTATGAGAAAAAAAAATATATTTATATATCAATGAAATTATCTTCAAAAAAAGAAAGTTTAACTTACAAAGGAAAAGATTCAATTAATTTTTTAGGTAATAACTGACCGAATGATGCAAGAATACCTAAATCGTATTGAATAGATGATTTTGATATTACTGAATCCATATTTGGCCAAGTATGAGTTTTTAATTTAAATTTTTCAGCACCATACATAATAGTATTTGATGATGATACAGTAGTTACTACTTCTAAATGTTTAATTTGTGTTTTATCATTAATAAATAATTGATAGAGATGTTCAAGAATATGCATAGAAAAAAGATCCGAACCAAAAAAAACAATATTTAATGGTTTAATTATCGAACTTGTATAAAAACGTTTCGATAGATGAACATGTTGATTAATAATATATCGAACATAGAGAATAAACATTGAAGATAAAAGCAAATCTAAAAATAAAAAGATCATCTAGAATCGAACTGTAAAAAAAAAAGAAACTTAAGAAGCAAAATGATTTTGTTTTATATCGAATAGTTAATGATTAATTTTCAGTCAAACTCATTTTATTCAATTTTCATAGTATCAATTATAAACATAATATATATCTGCGATAGTATCTTAATTAGTGGTAAATATTAACAAAAAAAATATTTAGTTTTTTATTTCTTGTATTGTTCAAAATAATTATCTACAAAGATTTTGTGTTTTGTATTATTCAATTGAATAACTTTAAATTAATGCTTGTATTAATCTAAAATTGATGAAGAAAATATTTAAAAATTTTGTTCGTTATTATTTGAAAATATGAAAATACTTACAAAAAGAGATAAAGAAGAAAGCATAACAAATAAAATATTAATCGAATTAGAAAATCCTATAAAATCATAGATAATAGCAATTGAATATTCAATAAATCTAATTGTTTACTTTCATATGTGCTTTGATATTTCTTCGATTATTTATTTCTAATGGATCATAAAAACCTAATTGACCTGGTTGTCGTTTAAAATATCTTAAAATTAAAAATAAAATATAATAAAAACAAAAAATAAATAATTACTTGTAAGCAAACCAAAGATCTAATACAATATTTAATATGAAAATAAACCAATTATTATTAAATATGAAGAAAACTGTTAGTATAACATGTAATACAACTTCTGGTAGAAATGTCTAGAACATATTTTTTTTTTGAATTAATTGCACTCATATTTAATTCTTTATGAAATAGAGAAAAGTACATACTTGATTGAGTTTATTGCAAGCTTGTCGAACATTGATTATATCGATTTCAAGATCAGACAATGTAATAATCTGTATAAAATATTGTGAATAAAAAAAATCATAGTTTCAAATAAATCATACTTACATTATAAATATTAATAAATAATAGAAGTAAATTATCGATCATTGCAAAAGCAAATAATAAAGCCGTCATAGACATTTTTCTTTTTTTGTAGATCTAAACACACGTGAAAAACCGTGTGTGTGTGTATCTTTTTATTCTAACTTAACTTTCCAAAAAAAAAGGAATCTGTTTTATTTTATTGTTTTTCAATTTATCTGAACTTATATATCTACTATTCGAAGAGAACAAATCGAATTCAAACAAAAAACATATTCCATAATAGAATAACAACAAAAAAAAACATCATAAGAGAGAAAAGCAAACAAAAAAAGTCTTATTTCCTACATGCATATCTGAACTATCGATTTCTTTTTTTTTTTTTAGTAAATAAACAACCGGGTTATATAATACAACAAAACAAAATGTTTTTTTTTTATTTTTAATGTCCATTACCATTTGTAAGAATCATTTCATCATCATCAACTTCAATACGTGCACGTTTATTACGTTGTCGTGTTGAACTTGGTGTTACTATTGCTACAGATTCATCATTAATTGTTGATGTTCCAATACTATTTATATTTGTTATAGGTTCTAATCGACTACCAATATTTAATCTAATAAATAATTAAACAAAAACAAAAAAGTAGTTTTATTTTTTTTTTGTTATTTTTGAATATATTTTACCGTTGTTCTTCTGAATCAAGTAATTTTCTATATGTTGAAATTTCACGATCAAGACCAATTTTTGTATCAAGTAAATTTTGATAATCATTTTGCATTTGTTCAATAATTATTTTAAGATTATTAATTTCTTCATCACGTTCTATTAATGATTCATGTTGTTGTTGTTGTGTACGATATGTACGATCTTCTAAATCACGACAACGTTGTTCGAATTGTAACATTTTTTCATTACATATATCACGAGTTTTAATTGTTTCTTCAATACGTTCACGATATGATATTAAATCAGTACGATAATTATTTATTTGATCAATATAACGACGATTAGTTGTATTTAAATCTTCAATCTAAATGTTTATATTAGACAAAAATCTATCATCTTTTATTGAATATAATCAAATGTGACAACTATTCTCATGAATCGATGATTGAGCGTAGGACATGATTTATGAAAATTTCGATGGAAAAAAAATTTGCCGGACAAGTTCACAATATATGATTCAATGCATCTTCATTTTGGGTTTAGGACATTTGCTCGTAAAAATGCTTTGAAGTAAATATTTGTATGAGATATACGAAAATATTCCTTAATCATCCACGACATTTTAAATTTTCTAGCATGTTCGCATTTTCTTGTCGTTTCGTTTTATCAATAATGTAAGAATATCCGTCGTAAATAAGTAACGAAGCGTTTTTCGATGTTATTGAAAGAGTAACTGACATGGTTGTTTTCTTAATGCATTGTTCTATGACTATTCTTTATAAAGACCATGATCGTCAATGTGTTCTGAATTCTTTCATTGACAATGAATAGTGGCGTATCCAGGATTTCAACTTCAGAGCATGGAACCCATGTGAAATTGATAGAGATATGATATTAGGTCCAAATGATGAGTTTTTATCAAAAGATTTTTGTAATGGGAATTTGCGAAAAAAATTAGCATTTTCCTGAGCCTCACCACGATTTTTCTTTTTCTATTAGTAGTATCTTGATTTTTAGAATTTAATAGTAAGCTACATCGAAATTCATCAAATTTCATTTAAAAATATGCATCCGTTCACGAGTTGTAATGTTTTGAATTTTTTCTAAAAGCATGTAGCAAATTTCTAAAACATTATAACTCATGAACGGATGCATATTTTTAAATGAAATTTGAAATCTGTCAATGAATTTCGATGTAGCTTACTATTAAATTCTAAAAATCAAGATACTACTAATAGAAAAAGAAAAATCTTGATGAGGCTCAGGAAAATGCTAATTTTTTTCGCAAACTCCCATTACAAAAAACTCATCATTTGGACCCAATATCATATCTCTATAAGTTTCATCTGGGTCTCATGCTCTGAAGGTGAAATCCAGCATACAGAAAAAATCCTGAATACGCCACTAACAATGAAGAGTCATTTCATTCGCGAGCAACTATCCGGATCTCCTTCATTTTCTCTTTCGAATAGTGAAAAACCGCAGGTTCGTATCAACTTTCTATCGAACGTTATTAGAAAAATATTCTATTTTACATTGGATAATAGATTTTATAATAAAAATTCACAATATTCTTTAGAAATTATTTTGAATTGTATCAAATTCTAAGTTTAAAATTTTCTATATTCTTATTATTTCAAACCTTTTTTTCATATTGTAAAGCAATTTCTTCTCTTAATAAAATAATTTCTTGTTCATTTTGTGTTCGTATTTGTTGTAATTCTTGTAAAAGTTTATCATCATATTGTTGTCGTAAACCATCATTATGAATTATATCATAACATTGTTGTTCTTTAATTTGTTGTATATGCTAAAAAAATTTTTATTTTTCTTAATTCAAAAAAAAAAAATAAAGAAATTTCTTTAATCATACTGTTACATGTACTTGTTCATTAAATTCTAATTCTTCACGTAATGTTTTATTTTTATTTTCAAGATCAATACGTAATAATGTTTCAGATTCAAGTTGACGTTTTAATGCTGTTATTTGTTTTTCAAGATCATTATTTAAATTTTGAAAAATCTTTCAAATTAAAAATTTTAAATGTATTTAACAAAAAAAAAAAAAACTCTTTCATATACTTCATTCTCTTCATTTTTACGTGTTGTTTCTATTATCATAGAATTACAACGTGTTTTTAATTCAGCTATTTCATTTTCATATTGTTTTAAACGAGATTCAGTTCCACGTACATCACGATCAATACGAGATAATCTAAATATAAATAAATTGACAAGATTGATTTAACTTTTTTGTTTTTTCTTTGTTACTTTGCTTGTAAATCCGTATTTTCAGAACGATATTTTTCAAGTTCAATTTCAAGACGAGATTTTTCATGTGCTAATTCTTCAATTAATTTTTTAGCATCATCTATAAATAAACAACAAATTATCTAAAATTTTAGTCTGGTAAATATATATATACCTAATTCATTTTCATAGAGAGTTTTAACTTTTGATGTTTCAATTTCAAATGATTGAGTATTTGTTTTAACAATTGTCTAATAAATAAAAAAAAACTTTCAAAAAATATTTTATTTTCGAACAAAAAAAAATTTTACTCGTAATTTTTCATTATCTTGTTCAAGACGTCGTACAGTATCAATAATAACAGCTAAACGATCATTAAGTGTTTGTAATTCTTGTTTTTCTTGTTGTCGTGTTATATTAAGTAATGGTGATGTTACTAATGATGATGATGATGATGATGTTAATGATACACCTGATAATGTACGATGTTTTATACCATTATTTTCTATATTTATTTTATGTTCATTAGTTATTTTACTAGGTGAATTTTCTTTAACATTTGAATCAGAACGTGATGCTGAAGCAGTACGACGACGAAAAACAGAAAACATTTGTACTTTGTATTTTATATATAGAACAAAAAAGAAAAAAGCAACAATGTTAATTGTTAAATGGAATTTTTTTTAACTGATGTCTTTTATTCAAGAGAATAGACAAAGAATACATTTTCTTGAACACAAAAAAAGGATCGAAATTTTTGATAGGTTGATCACATTGTTAACATATATTTATTAAAAAATTAGTAGAAAAAAAAAAATAAATATTTCTATAAATATAATTAATGATATAAAAAAAAAAACAAAACAAAATCAATTAAATTATTTATATATGTTATAATAGAATTTCAGCAGTATGTGTATGACATCTATCGAATATATCATTTTTTGCAAATATTTCTATGAGAATGTAATACTTTCTTTTTCTAGATGATCTTTATCAAATACATTCTTTTCACAATCGTTTATTTTCATTCACTTATTCGATATATCATAAATTTCAACCGAAATTTGTGATAGATTCTCAATTTGTCTTAGTTTCTAACTTTTGACTTAACGACTTGACAATGGCTACATTGTCAAAAGCATACTTTGTCGAAGAGCATATAGTCACTTCTTTGATATTACTATTTATCTTTTCTTTTTTCCTAATGCAAAATGTATTTATATTAAAAGAAAAACAAACATGATAATAATATCAAAGCGAATAGTAGGAGGAAAAAGAAAAGAAAAGATTTTAATGAAAACAGAAAAAGAAAAAACGAAATAATTTAATCATTAAAGTTTAAATTATTTTTTATTTTGTTGTTGTTTGTGTTTAACAGCCCAATTATGTAAACGAGCCATATTTACTTCAGTCGTTGTAATTTGATCTCTATTTGTTAATGACAAATGGAAAAATCTAATTAGATACATGAATTTTTTTTTTTTTACCTTAAAAAATCTAGATCTTCATCAACTTTTTGAAGTGTTGTTTGTGCTATTTTTTGATTTCCACGTAATAATTCATCAGCTTCATCTAATGTATATTCAAGCATAACATTAGCACCTAACCATAAACAAACCTATACAATCGAAATTAATATACTATTTATTAAAAACAAAAAAAAAATCTATTCGATTTTACTTTATCTGTTGGTGGAATTGTTGCTTTACCATAAAGATTATGAGATAAAAGAAAATTTGTTTCCATAGTACTATCTATTTCACGATATTTTCGAAGTTGTTCAATCATATCTATAATTTTATCATTATTATTTTCAAAAAAAAAAAAAATGAATAAAATCTTACCTAAACAAATTTGAATATCAGGTAATTTTCCTCGTAAACGTTTTTTCTTTTGTAATAAATTCATTTCCATAAATCGATATTTACTATTCAAATCATCAAGTCTTTAGAAAAAAAAACAAAAATTATCTATATATATAATGTTCAGTGTGTGTGTGTGTCTGTGCCGAGTCAAAAGTTAAAGCTCAAATAAGGCTATAAGGGGAAGATCTTCAGGGGCTATTATATGGGGTATCCATAGGTCCTCAAGGTCTATCATATGGGGGTTCCCAAGGGCTATCCTATGGGGGTACCCATAGGTCCCCAAGGGCTATTATATTGTAATACGCATAGGCCCTGAAGGAAGTAAGGCAATAGGGAGATAAGGTCGAAGGCTACATGGACTATAAAAATATGTGCGATATGAGAGTATGAGGTCGTAGGGCTACCTATCTGTATACATAATATCGAGTGTCTGTATGTATTTTAGCGGATGAAAAGTTAAATATCTGAGATCATGCATTAAAGAAGAAAACAGCCGTGCAGTATGCACGGGTTCTCGCTAGTTAATCAATATTTTTCTAAACATGTACATATTAGAATAACAATCAAACATATAATAATAAAACTATATTCACCTTCGAATAACTGTATCCGCAGAATTATTCTCAGGTTGTTGCATAAAACTATCAACATCATCAACAAATACTGCTTTTGGTATACCTAAATGTTCACTATCACGTCCACTAATTATTGATGCCATCTAGAAAAACAAAAAAAAAATCATATTTGAAAAAAAATATATATATATTAATTTATAGCACGTATTTTATGCTTGTAGAAAAATTATTATAAAAAAAAAATCACAATGAAAATTATAATAAATAAAGTAGATTATAATTTTCATAGATGTTGTCGTCGAAAACTAAAATAAAATAAATTTTGTTAAAGAAAAATAAATAAATTTTTACATTTACCGAATACTTATTTTTGCACGTATAAATAAACGCATAAGAATAAATGCAACAAATGGCCAAAATAATATAAATACAATTATTTCTCGACGTAAACCAGATAATGGTAACCATGATAATGAAGACTATTGAAATGAATATATATGTAAAAAAAAAAAAAAATATTTCAAATAAAATACTTATTTACATTTAATTTTAATGAAGTTAATAATTCTTTCTAAAATAGAATACTATTAAAAAGTATAAATCTTTTCTTTTCCAAAAAAAAAAAACAACCTGTTGTAGAAGATTAGTTGATGTTTCTAATCGATTAAGTCTCTCTAATATATTATTAATATCTCGTTGTAATTTAGTTAATGCTGTTAATATAGTACGTTGTGTTTCTCTATTAGAATTATTAGTAGTATTACCAATACCAGATGATATTGCATTTATTGCTGGTCTAATTGAATTTGTAACGTTTTGACTATTAATTATATGTGAAGAATATGTTATTGAATTTATAGATTGTTGCTGTTAAAATTAAACAATATATGTTGAAGAAAAAAAAAATTTTTTGAATATTTACTTGAATATGATGATTATTATCTGATATGATTTCATCATGAGTTAATGAAATAAAACCAGATGGATCATCATAAAATTCATCAATATCTAGAGAATAATCATTAAAAAGTAAAAGAAATAAAAAAAAATTTTTATTTTACTAGAAGATATTATTGAAGAAGATGTAGATGATAATAAAGAAGGATTTGAGTGATTGTGATTCGAAATAAGAGTTTCAATTGAATCTTGTTTATTTAAATTTTCTTCAATTATTTCATGTTGTTCTTTTTCACTTATTACAATTATATCATTTTCATTTGATTGATCATCAATTGATTTATTTGATAATCCAATTAATTGTGAAAATTCTAATACTTCATTTGTTTGAGGCATTGTTTTAATAATCTAAATGATTTTAAAAAAATAACAACAACAATTCAATATATATATATAGTACAGATATTTTTTATTTACTTTTTCAATTTCATCAATATATTCTAACATAGCTTGTTCTTTAGTCATTGATCGATATCTATTCCATGCATCCCTAAAAAATCCAATCAATAGAATATTTATCCGAAGAAAACAAAATCTAAAAATGTTTTACCATTTAGCTCGAGCAATATAATTAAAAAAAGATGGTTGAGAATCTTTACATGGACCTAATGTCGCTTGTTTATAAAGACCATAAAAATTTAATTTTGTTGAATTTGATAGTTGAATTATACCTGAATAAATATTAAAATAACACTATATTCAAATGAATAATCATTTATTGAAAATTATTTTAATCTTAAAAAATGAATTCAAATTTTCTATTTGAATATTCAAAACATTCTATTGAACAATTGACTTGTTGATTGGCAAAAAATCTTAAATTCGAATACTATCATTTGATTTGTTAGTATATTATTAAAATGCACATAATTCGGAGTCAATTATGTTAATCTTTTCGAATTTTATATAATAATCTATAAGAAAAATCTCACCAGTAGCTGGTAAATTTTGAATAGTTTTAACAGCTGCATTAAATCTTTCTTCTAAATTTGTTGCTGATGCCATTCAAATTTAAGACAAAACAAAAACAAAAACAAAAAGATATCTAGAAAAATCACAAAACAATATGGACGGATACATATATATATCATTAAAATGCGAAAATATTTCACAAGTCTTTTAGTTTTGTCTTTTAAGTATCAGAATCAGATGAACGAGATTCAATATCAGAATCAGTTTCACTTATTTCTTGTTTAATAATATTTGTTACTGGTGTTGTTGATTTAGCTGAACTAGGTGCAGCAATAAATGCTGTTGTTGTTGTTGTTGCTGAATCGATACGTTTTGTAAGATTTGTTTGTACAAAACCAGATGCTGGTGAACCTTGTCTTATAGGTTTTTCACGTACAAGTATTTGTTGTTTAGGTAATGGTGGTAATAATGTTGTTGATGATATTGGACTTGATATTCGTGTTGTTGGTGTTGATAATGATGTTAATAATATTTTTGTTTCATTTTGTATTGATACTATAGGTTCAATAATAGATCGTTGTTGTTGTTGTATAGGACGTGGTTGTTTTAATATAATTGGTTCTTTACCAATAAAACGTGTTAATTTTTCATTTTTAGCTAATTGTATTAAAAATTTTTGATAATTTAATTGTTGTTGTTGTTGTTCTGTTAATAATAAAATTTCTTCTAAAATATTTAATGGTGGACAAATACATATATTTGTTGTTATTAATTTTTGAAATGCTTCATATAATATTTGTTGATGATCATTATCTTGTTGTGGAATACTTATTTCAGCTGTTGGTACATGACATGTTAAACGATGTGAAAATGAACGAAATAATTGTTGTGATTCATTTATAAATTCATCATAAATAAAACGTATTTGAAATGCACGTAAAAATATAACATAATCAATTGATAATGATGATTCATAATCTTCAATTAATGTAACACTTGTTTCAAGAAGTGAATATGGAAAATCTGGACATATTGAAAGCATTAATGTATGAATTTCTTTTAATGTACTTGGAATTGGTATTGATGTTTCACATTTAGACCATATTTGAGTAAGAAATGCACGACGATTATAAGGAGTACTATTGATAAATGTAAATTCACGACCGAGTATATGAGTTTCACGTTTTACTTGTAAAAAATAATCTCTTAAAAATACATTAACATCAATTTTTCCTGTTGATAATGGTGAAGGGCGACGACGTGTTTCAAGAAGACTTCTTATACAATCTTCAAAATAGATTGTTAAATGATGTTGTTTTAAATATGTTTGTTCTCCAGAATAATCATCAGCCATTACAAAAATAAAAATCTCGTTTTTATCAATTTAATATTCTTACTAAAAGAACTCTTTCTATTAAGAAGTCGTTAAGGACAACCATACAAATCTAAGATCGAATAGAAAAAAATCATGACTGATATAAAATGACATCTATATTGATTCAAAAAAAGAAAAAGAAGAAAAACAAGCAAGAAGACAAAAAAAAAGAGAATATCTTGGAGGTTTAAAATGACGATCAATGTTTGAAATAATGGCCACATATATTATTATTATTATTATTGAAAATAAACAAAAGAAATAATACTTCTTCTTTAGATTTCTCGTATTTTGTTTGTTTTTTTATATTGTTTTTGTTCAATATGGTTTATCAAGCATATGGTAGTACAAATAATCCGAATACAATGTCAGGTGATCAAAATCGAAAAATATTTCTTGGTGGTTTAAGTTATCAGTAAGATACTTTTATTATTTATTTAAAACAAAAAACACAAAAAAAAGTTATTTTTCTTTGTTTTTTTTTTGAAGTACTACTGATGAAACATTACGTGCATTTTGTTCACGTTTTGGTAAAATAACTGATTGTCTTGTTATGAGAAATCCTGAAGGCAAATCTCGTGGTTTTGGTTTTGTTACTTATGAAGGTAAACAGAATTTTATTTTCAATTTTTTTGAATTATTTTTATCATATAAAGATACATCATCTGTCGAAGATTTTATGCGTTCACGACCACATACAATTGATAATCGTCAAATTGATCCAAAACGTGCAAGTAAGAATATTGTTTTTTTGTCTTTAAACTGATTTAATCTTGCATTGGTTTTTAATTAGTGCCACGTGAAGAACAAAATAGTTCAGAAGCACATTTAACTGTTAAAAAATTATTTGTTGCTGGTTTACGTGAAGGTATTAATGAAGATAGTCTTCGACAATATTTTTCACGTTTTGGTAATATTGTTGAAGTTCTTGTTATGAAAGATCGTGATGGTTTGTTTACATAAAATTTTAATAAAAAAAAATTAATTTCTTATTTTTCAAGGAAAACCTCGTGGTTTTGCATTTGTTACATTTGATGATTATGATGCTGTTGATAAAGCTGTTTTAGAAAAACCACATATTATAAATGGTAGAAATTTAGATGTTAAAAAAGCAGTACCAAAAGAAAAAATGCAAGAAGAATCAGGAACAAATTCACCTATTGGTGGTACTGGTGGTATGCCATCATTTAATCGTAATAATCCTTCAAATTATTCAGGTGTTAATACTGGTCCACCACCACCACCACCACCATCATCATCATCATCAGCTCGAAATAATTTTGGACAAATGCGTGATAATTTTAATCCATCTAGTGGTAGTTGGGATAATCAAGGTGGTATGTCACGTATGAATAATCAAAATCAAAATTATAATCAACCATCAACATCATCATACGGACAACAAGGTGGATATAATACAAATACATCAGGTTTTAATCCACCAATGCCACCAACAAATGCATATTCACAATCATTTAATCCTATGGGACAAAATCAACCACCACCACCACCACCTCCACCACTTCCACAACAACCATCAATGATGAATTATGATATGTATAATAATACATCAAATATGCCATTTAATAATAATCCAAATCAACTACCAACATCAAATTATATGCAACCACCACCATTACCTTATGGACAAAATCAACAACAAGGTTTTGGTAATAATCCAAATAATTTTGGTGGTATGAATGATTCATTTAATTTACCACAAGCAACATCTGGTGGTGGTGGTGGTGGTGGTGGTGGTGGTAGTCGAGGTTATAATAATCCATCATCAACATCAGTACCATATGATAATGCAACTTCATATGGTATTACATCACAAAATTTTGGCGGAGGAAATTATAATAATATGCCTCAACAACAAACTCGTGGTGGTGGTGGTCCTATGCGTTCAGGACGAGGGTAAGTCAAGTATTTTATAATTATTCTTGTTTATAAAATATTAAATTAATATTTATTTACATACGATAGATAGTAAAAACTTCTACTTTTTAATCATTTTTTTTTTTTGTTTGGATTTTAAATTTAAAAACAAAAATCCATGTCTAAGCATATTTATCGTTTTTCTCACAAAAGTGAGATTTAGATTCTCTATCATATGAATAGAACACATTCTGCACGAATAATTACTAGCATATGTATTGCGCCTTCCACTTCAAGCTCGATATATCTAAGTTATAGAATTCTTCTAAAGACTATAAGTTAGACGTCTGACTTATCTAGTTGAAAATAATCATGCGCTAATTAATAAATATATTTGTAATAGTAAAAAAAAAAAAGGCGTTTTATTTAGGAGAAGAAAAATTCTTGAATAACAAAACTCAAATTTTACAAAATTTTCATTACCATTATCTTTCTCATCCCAATAGTGTTTTATATTTTTCTTTTGTTTTAAAGCGGTGGAAGTGGAGGTAATTATGGTGGTCCATCAGGTGGAGATTCTAATTATAGTAATCGTTCAGCACCATATTCAGCACGTGGTGGTCGTGGTGGTGGACGTGGTGGTGGTCGTGGCCGTGGTCGTGGACAATAAATAATACAAATTTACAAGTGTGGTATGTGTTTAAGGAGACATTTGGAAAAAAAAAATAAAATAAATTACATCCATATTGAACATGTGTAAAAGAATTTTTCTTTCGATATCTTTTTGTTGTAGTCTTCTGTTTCATTTACCCTTATGTCTATTGTCTTTATCTTTATTAACAATATACTCAAAGAAAAATTCCCTACCTTAGAGAACTAAATAGAAACAACAACAAAAAAAACAGCTATATGAATATGCAAAAAAACAACAACACATACTTATATATATATATATTTTTTCTTCTTTTTGTACATAGAGCTGTCTTAACATCAGTTAGAGTTTACTCTAGATTGAAATTATCAAAGAACAAGATAAATAAGAAAAAAAAAAAAAGAAAGAATCTAATGTTTTGTTTTTTTTGTGGTTTTTGTTTCAATTTGTTTTTTTTTTTCTTTCTTCTTGTCGTGTATTATCACATCAGTTGTATAAGTCACCATGTTTCTTTTTTTTTTCTTTTGTGCCTGTTTCTCTTAAATACATGTACGAAAATTAATATATTACTATTATGATTTATTCTTATATTAAGTATAAGAGATATTTTAGTTTTAAGTAATTATGAATTAGAATATAGTTATGATACATTTGGATAAATTATAAGAATATAAGTTTACATGAAATATCTAGTTTATATATATATATTTAGAAATCAAAATAGATTAAATTATAGTTTCGATTTCGAGTAAATTAATCATATTTCGAAAGTATTTTATGTTTATTTATTAATTAATTTATTTTTGTATGAAAAATATTATTGAAGAAAAAAAAGAGCAATTCAGAGATTCAAACGATTCATATATATCTCTTTTTAATATTTTTGGTTTTTGTTGTTTTGTGTAATTGTTATAGGAAAATACCATATAGAAGAGTAAGTGTGTATGAAATCTTGTTTTGTTTTTCTTTTCTTTTCTTTTCTTTTTTTATTACATTCAGTGGGCAGTTAAAGAATGAATTTAATTTATTCTTTGTCTTCTGATAAGTAGAAAATCTGGTTATCAAATACTATCGAATAGTCTAGATATACAAATCGCTTAGGCGAATCAGCAACAGAAATGCACAAATATCGCAAAGATCTGTTGATGGAAAGTGTTATATTTATACAGAATAAGCATCAAAAAGAATTATTTTAGGTAAGTATATATTTCATATTGTATTATTTTAAGTTTAATTTAATTTTTATTTTAAAAATTAGTCTCAATTAGAAACAGACTGTAAAGAATAGTATTTTTTTTTTTGAAGAAGAAGAAAAAAAAAATTTTTTTTTTATTTAGAATAACACAAAATAGAACTTGGTTTGGCATCAGTATTCTATAGTCAGACAAATAAAAGAAAACTTTACTAGTAGAAATAAGCTGATTGAATACAGGAAAAAAAAATAAAGTATTTTTGTTTTTTTTTTTTCATTAAAATAAGCCAAGAAGATTTATAAAAAAAAATATAGCAAAAGGTATTGTTTTTACGAAATAACAGTTGAGCAAATTAAGATTGAGAATTTTGAGTTAGTTAAATATGTTGTTGAATTTTTGATAATATTTTTTTTGTTTATATATTTATAGGTAATGAATTAAACTTATGTGCAAATGGTAACTTACAAATGAATCAAGTTAGAATTTATATATTAATTATTAATAAAAATAATCTCATAAAACTCAAAAAAAAATGTACAATTTTTTCTGTGATACATTGTTGTTGTTTTTTTTTTATTTAATTTTAATAAATAAATTTGTTATATTTTTATTAATAAAATTTGATTTATATATTTATAAAGAAAAACTGCTTTTTTGAATCAAATTATAATTGACAATAGTGAATAAAAAATTCTTTTCATCATAAATTGATTATACGTTAATGATTCAATCTCATATTATTCTATATGTTCTTCATATTCGGAAAAGAATATATGCTGAGTCGGCCATTCTTCTAAAATAGATTGAATAACAAAAACGGTAATTGATCTCTTCTACATGTTGTAATCAAGATTAAGAGTTTCGATACATTTTTAAATTTAATTCAATTGTCTAACTTCTTTTTTAGTGGCGTAACTAGGATTTTGGCGGTGATAGAGCTTAGCGTTGCTTAAATGTCTGATGATTGGGCTCAGAAGAATGAGGTCTGTGGGGTGGTTGGGCGGAGCCCTACATTGGTTACGCCACTATTCTTTTGATAATTCTAATAAATAATAAAAATATGAAGAAAACTATTGAACAAATCAATCTTATGAAGAATAATCAATGAATTCTTATAATTGATCAACGCCCGAGAAAACATTTTGTTTGTGAACAGTGATAGTCACTTGCGACTATAGTAAAGAATGTTATGAATCGATTCAGTCTAAAAGATTTGTTCAAACTTGAGATATGAAAAAAGTATATTTGAAAGTCGAGATATATATTTTTTTTTAGACAACAACAACAACACAGTTTAAAAACAGTATTTTAAGCGGAAAAACTCTTACTAGCAGTTCTATAGGGTGTCCGAAACGTCACTAAAGTTAGAAAAATTTGAATATCTTCATTATGACTCTAGCAAACCAGCTGATTTTTTTACCGAAGATAGAGGTATGTTGATACTTCAAATCTATACGGACAAGTTTAGAGAGAAGCTTTGTTAAGAATATTGTTTTTTTTTCCTATCTGTGAAAAAATAAAATTTTCTTATTAAGGTCAATAGCAAAGGTTCTCAATAATTTTGTCCGTATGGATTTGGAGTGTGAACATGTCTCTATCCTTGGTAAAAAAAAAATGAGTCCGTTTGATCAAGCCATAATGGAGATATTCAAATTTTTCTAACTTTAATGACTTTTCGGACACCTTATATATATCATTGAAGATCATCTAAAGAATTTCATGATTCACTTTCAATGTTATATCATTTTGTTTAAATACTATTGATTTATTTGTAAAGCAACTTCTACTGCAAAAAAAAGATGTTCAATAAAATATTTTTGCTATATCGAATTTCAAGACAATTCGATTTATCATTCTATAATACACGTGTTTATTGAATAGATAACTCGATATTCATTCTATCATAGCTGTAAAAACAAACAAAACCCTCGATCTATTTTTCTCTCTCTCTTTTTTCGTCATCTATTATTCATTTCTAAGTTTGGTTTAAATCGTTTCTGTTTTTTTTTGCCTTATTTTCTATAGAACGTCCTCATGCAAACAATAATTAATAAAAAATCATATGATTTACGAGCAAAACCAATTCAAGTAATTTTAAAAATAGATAAAAAAAAAAATTTTTTTAAATCAATATATAATTTATATTTTTTGAAGATATTTTGTAATATACCTAAATTGACAAAACATGAACATACAAAAACATTTAAAATAATTGGTAATAATGAAAGTCAATTTTTATTTGATGATAAAGTATGTAAAAAAAAAAAGAAAAAAACATATATATAGAATTGAATTTATTTTAATATTTAAATTTTTAGCCAGCATTTCATTTTGAACATATATGGGGTGAAGGTACAACAGGTGAAATTTATGATCGATTTGCTCGACCAGCTATAGCTGATCTTGTACGAGGACGAAGCAGTACGAAAAAGAACTTTTCTTTTTGTGAATATTAAAAAAAAAAATTTCTTTTTAGCACTTCTTTTTATTATTGGTCGAAATAAAAAATTTCGTAATGATATTCTATTTGGTGAAACAAAAGATACTGGTCTAATTTCATTAACAATCAATGCACTTTATAATAGTATTGGTGAACATCGTGCAATTAAATATGTAAGAGATTATTTATTAATTTCTATATATATATATCAAAAACTATTCTAATAAATATTAAAAAATAGTATTTTAGACCCATAGGTAATAATACATATAGAATTCAATCAGATGCTCAAGCAATGTTTGATCGATATCAACGTGATCTTTTACCTAAAGTGAGCAAAAATATTATTGGTAATATTACACATACAAGTATTTTAGAAAAGTAAGTAATAAATTCTATCAATCAAATATATAGAAAATTTTCCAAAAAAAAAAAATCATTTATCAAAATATAGATATGATTGAAAGTAGTTTCGAAGAAAAAAAAACAAAAAAGATGTAGATTTTGCTTTTTGTTTTTATGCCGAGAATTTATATATACATAACAGAGATGGACAAAGTCGCACCGCGCCTCCCCGCGCCGTTGCTCACGCCTACGCTACACTAGTCGGAGCTTCGGCGAGCGCATGCTTAGAGCATCCCGGTATTCGGTGGAGTTTGAGAAACTGATTGGTAGAGCAAAGAGAAAGAGAGATGTGCGTAGCGCCTAGGCGCGAGCAGTGACGCGGGGAGGCGCGGTGCGATTTTGTCTATCTCTGATACATAATGTTTAATACAATTCATTTTAACTGTAATTTTTGAAACTGAATAAAGATTCTGAGATTTTCTATACATAATAGAGTAATTGAAAGTTTTGAACAAGATCCTATGAATAATAGGATAAGAGAGTCAAATTTCTATTGTCCTTGTTTGAAAATTTCTGATTGTTTTAAAATAATCTTCGATTAAAATTCACATGAATTTCTTTAGGGGGGAGGTAATAAAATCTATAAAAATTTAAATATTAACTTTTATTTTTATATATATAAAATAAATTTAGATCAATACTTGATCAAACATCGAATGTATCTGGTATTGATGATGATAATATTTATACAATATTTATATCAGCTATAGAAATAAATACAATAAATTCAAATTCTATAACAATTGATTTATTAAAAATGTTTACTGAAGGTATTAATAATAATCAATTTGAAACTCCACAAACATGTATTGAAATGGAATTTGATGATGCACGTAAAACACGACGAAAATTATTTGATACAAATAAAATACCTATGAAAGATAATTCAACACGTTTATATATAATTCGTCTTGTACAAGCAAGAAAAACTGATCAAAGAGAAGTATAGTTTTTTTGAAAGTATTGATTTATTAAAAAAATTACAGTTTTTTTTAGAATGTCATACCGATTGTTAGTCAATTAACATTTATTGATTTACCAACAAATAAAAATTCAGCAGGTATAATGAAAAATAATTTTCAAAAAAAAAATTGTTTTGTTTTTGATTTAGATTTAAAAGTTGTAAAAGATTTTATTGTACCATCAAGAAAACAATCTGTAAGATTATTTTTAATAAAATATTTATGAAAACTTCTTTTTTGTGTATTTAGATAGAATCTTCAAATCATTTACAAGATTTTCTTCATAGATATCCTATTCAAGATTATCAACAACAATTTGTACCAATTAAATTACTTTTATGTGCATCAGCAAGTAATCATGATGCACAAGATACTTTAGTAAATCTTTTTCATACATTATTATCAAAAGATTTTGTTTTTTCTCTCTTCTAGCAAGATATTAAATGGTTAATGAGTCTTCAAGCTAATCAATATCTTGTTTATTTGGGTCGTGATGAAGAAAATCATGTTACACGTGATGATGATGATGATCATCATCATCGACCACCACGTCCACCATCTATACATTATTCAACATCATTAAATCGTACAGATCATAGAAATTTAATACAACATGTACCAAATTCAACTCCACTTGCTCAATCAACACCACGATCAATAACACAAATACCATCAACAACAACTACATTAGCATCTATTCATACAGAACGTTCTCATCCAACACAATATAATAATACACCAAGTCGATCATTTAATTATATTACAAGTATAAAAAAAAAGGATGATGTAAAAGTTCTGTATTAATTTTTATTTTAAAGATAACATATTAGAAGGTCATCCAAAAAGTAGCGATGTGCCAAGACACTGTATAAGGACATGCTCTTTTATTCTGGGAGGACAAGATTAAAGTTGTATAAAAATATTAATTTCGAATTCAATAATTAACTTAAAAGTTTTATTTTTAACAAATATATATATAATTCTCTATCTTAGCGCTGTAAAATCCAAAACATTAAGATCAACTTTACTTTTCTTATCATGTTATACTGAAAAAAAACAAAAATCTTAATACAAAATTTTTACATCATTCATTATTATATTTTTTTAATCATATTGATTTAATAGATACATCTCAATCAATACCTCCACCACGACCACCATCATCATCTTCTCGACTTATTATAGAAGAAACTCCTTCGTGTGTCACTTATGCATTAACACCTAGTACAGGTATATCTCATTTAAATGAAAAAGTACCACCTCGTATTCCACCAAGAATTCAACGATCAATAAAACCATTATCATCTATCGAACAAGAAGTACCTACTCTATTAACAGAAACAAAATTAAATTCAAATATTCAAAATCGACGACCACCACCACCACCACCGATTTATAATACAGAAACAAATAAAAAACGTTTATCTCGAAAATATTCAAGAACAAATTCAATTATTGATGTACAACAACGAGCTTCATCTGTACTTAGTTCACGTATTTTACCAACAATAGCATCAACTACAAAACATGTTACTTTAAAAGAAGAAAATTTACTTAAACGTTCATCATCAGTTGATCGTATTGGACGTGAACGTTGGTTACATCATATTACCGATCCATTAACAATTAATAATGGTTTGTTTGATTTTTGTTTTTTTTAATAGTTCTCAACAAAAAATTTTTCATCCATTTTTTTTTTTTTTTTGAATTTCTTAGCAATTAAATTACGTGCATCATTACCAAATCCATTACAACTTGTTACAAATCATTTTAATGCTATGTCAAAATTATTAAGTGCAACTAAATATGCTATTGAACATCGAGCTGAAGATGGTGTTCAATTATTTCAAGTAAATAAAAAAAAAAAAAAGTATTTATTTTGTATTTGAAAATATGGTTTTGTTTTTTTAGGGTGATGTTATGGCAACAAGTAAAGGTGGTGTTAAAGTTGTTTTTACTTCAGTTGATCAAGTAACACATAATAGTTTACTTCCAATAACATGTGAAAATTCTATTTTGAGTAAATTAAATTTAAAATATATTTTCTATTAATATGAAATTTTTTCATTTTGTTTTAGATAGATGTTAGTCGTTTATAATATATTAATATGACGATATATATTTAGCATTTTTTTTTTTTTTTTTTTCTTCTTCTGTACTTTTACTTAATAATTATCTTTTATTCGAGATATTTGATTAAAAAAAAAAAGAAAAGAACAATTTTCTTTCTTTGTGTGATTTCAGAGATTATATTACATATTGTATTTGACGTTTTTTTTTCTTTTCTCTTTCTTGTTTTCTTTTATGCATTCTTGAATAAACCTATGATGAACTTCTTCGATAAACCTCATAAACAACAATGTGTCAAGATAAAAATAACCTTCATCAATATCTACCAAACTTGCTCATTACCACAAGTCAGTCATACTTGAATGCTTTTTGCATTTTTTTATCTCTGTCATCATAATGATGAAATAGTATCGTTTTCCTTCTCACGCTTTTAAATATACATAATGTACTATGACATTGACTATGACAAAATGAATGAATAATAAAAAGCAACAATTAAAAAAAAAAAAGAGAGAAAATGACTTTATTCAAATAAACAACAAACATTAATATGCGCATGATCAAAAAAAGAAAAATGAATATTTCCAAAAAAAGAATAAGTGTATAGTAATGTTGTAAAAGATGATAGTAACTTTTATTGTTGTCATCATATCATGCAAAAAACAATGTTTTCGTTCTCTTGAACAGGTTCATTGTGTAGGTTAAAAAAGAAAAACGGAAGGCTTCGTTCTTGATGTTTATTATTCAAGGATAACGGTATATATTAAGTATAAGAAAAATATCATATATTGTTACGCTAGTTTCATTGCATATGACAGATAATGATATAAAACAATGAAACCAATAAAATAACCATACCGATATGTAGTTGTTCGACATCACTACTAATATTTTCTACTATTTTGTATGCATCGAGAAATTTTTCTAGAAAAATGATATTCAATTTATTTATAAATGTAAAAATTTTGTATACATACTGGCATAAGCCGTTATAGCAACTATACACGAAAATAAACCTAAAGCAGCAATAGCTGATAAACAAAGTAGACAACCGAGAGTACCACCAAGTACTCCAAGGGCACCACCTAGAATACTAGCAGGTCTAAATACCCTCCTTCCTCCATAGTAAGGACGTGGAGGTAAAATAATTCTATAGTTTTTCGAAAAGAAAATACTTGTTGCCAATACTTATTTACTTGTAGTTATTTACCGAACTCGAAATGGTCGAGAAGGAAGAAATCTTCGACGAGCGTATGACATATAAATCTATGAAGGTTTGATAATAACCAAACAATATTAACAAGGATAAGTGATGAGTCTTTTCTTTCTTCATATTATATTACTAAGAACTGTCCACACGTGTTTATTAATAAATTTTTCTTTATTCGCCATCTTCTATTTTTTTCTCTCTCTCTCTTTCTTTTTTTTCCTCTTGTTTTCTCTTCAATCACCTGTGCGGTAAACTTCTGTCAGCAGCAATAATGACAATTTGTTTGTAGCGTACTAAATTGTAATACCAAAAGACAACAGGCTACTTGTTTTTTTGTTTTCTTTCACATCATCATTACATTTTCTGATTAATCATGTCCTCATATTGTTCTATTACTTCTTGATTACGTTTCTAAAAAAAAACAAAAAAAAGTGGCGAAACAAAAATTATTATAAACAAGCATGCTTCTTTTTTTTTGACATGTACGGTTTCCATTGACGGCATGATCAAACTATTCTTCCTATTTTTTTCAACAAAACGTATATTGCATTCTTTCATTACTTTTCTCTTGCCGACTGCTTGTGCTATGCATGACTTCACGGGTATCATTGATGATTTTCTTCTGAACTATACATATCGTTTGATATAATGTATACGTCATCAGTAGTAAAAGAGAGAAAATCCATTGTTTTCTACTTTTTTTTAAAGGTTTCATTGATTCGATAAACTGAAAAAGAGATATATTCAATATAAGCGAATGTCTTCTGTAGTAACAAGCATTTAAGAAAACGAAAAGATGAATAACAATATATTGAACTATCGACAACATATTTTCGTCTCATCAGTTGTAAAAGCATCAATGTACAATCAAAAAAAAACTATTAGCGTACGTGTGTGTAGTCAGTCAGGGGTGTTTCGCTTGATTAATCATGTGCCGTCTTTTTTTATTTGATTGCACATCTTCCTTTCTCTTGATTTTTTTTTCTTTTAACATAATATCTATACATGGACACGTATAACAAACATTGGCGGGATTCTTCTTTTTTTTCACAAATTGTAATGATAAACGATACATCATGCATACTCTCTCTATGTACAACCTTCAGGTGGCAAACCTCATCCTTTTTTGTGAATACATAGAGAACGTTGTCATTTTTTTTTATATTGGTTCGCCGACTAAGTTTTCTTTATTGGTCCAGAACCATTCGTTTTTCTTTCTCTTATCTCTCTCTCTCTCTCTGTTGCTTCTGTTATTATGATCATCATCATGTATGGATGTTTGTATTGTCCAGAAATATTTCTGCCAATTGATCTATTTCTTGTGTTTTTCTTTTTCTTTCTGTTGTACAAGTTTTAGACATTAGTTAGAGAATTTTTAGTTGAAAAGATAGATAACGATCAAAATATTTTGTTCAATGTAGACATACACAGAGACAGATGAAGGATGACCTTGAGAATACGGTTTTTTTTTGATATTTTCTGACAAAGATCATTATCATAGTATTGTCTTTGTCTTATCTTAGTAAAATCCTAGAATGCCTCGTATTCGAGTGCCGATTCGTCGTTCAGGAAGTGTTTATATTCAACGGCCCGGTATACGATATCCACTTCGGTAAGATTCGATCGAATAAATTATTCTATATACAATTATTTATTTATATTTAGACCTCCCCCACCTAGTCGAGGGGGTCTTCTCGGTATACTCGGAGGCATAGCTGGTCTACTCTTATGTTTACTATGTTTAGCAACGTTGGGTTTACTTGGTCTTTTTGCAATATTTATTGCAGTGACCGCATATCTCGGTATGATTTTGAATATATATATATTGAAATAAAAATTCTCATAATTTTTATTTTTTCAATTGTTTTTTTTTTTTCTTTAGGAAAAGTATATAGAGCATTGAAAGATGCTGGTAATGATGCACCTGGCCTTGCCATTAATACAGTCATCTTATTGGCTGCTTTATGCTTTGCCAGTTTTCATAAGTTACGACGATCATTATAAACAATACTCTACTTATATATTTATATGTTAATTCCGAGTCGTCGATTTATCGTCGCTGTTATTTATCGTTTATTTTTTTGATTATATTTATTTAATCAAACTCCATTGGGCCTTATTTTGTCTTTCGTATAAGTTTTTCTTTTCTTTTGAAACACCACGATTTTTCTTAACTTTTTATCACACACCTACACAACTATTTTTTATTTAATGAAAAAACAAAAAAAAGTTTTTCATACAAGTGCCGATTCAAAGAAACACAATGTATCCGTAAAAAATATGAAACAAATTATTCCATTGAAGCCATCATCATCATCAACAACACCTTCAAATAGTCCTATTTTTAATAACATTAATATCACTTTGTATTCGCTAAATATAAACGACAATTCAAATGGTCAACGGTTTTCTTTTTTTTCGTACGCGGATGTACTTTTTTTTTTCCTTTTGATCGAGCACTTTATTTCTTTTTTTATGTGTGAGAAATAAAATACAATGGGTGATTATTTACATACATAGGTTTCTAACGAGTGAAAATGAAAGTAAGGAATTTGAAAAATAGACAGAGAACTTTTAATTTAGAGTCTGAAAAAAAGACGAGCAGTTTCGAAAAGTAAATTTTCTTATTTTGATGAGTCAATTTGTACTTTTATACGATAGTATAGTAATAGAATTTTTATGAAAAACAAATTTTTAGAAAGAAAATGTCCATGCCGAAAGGTTTCTTAACGATATAAATATTTTCAAAAAATGAACTATTCTACGATGAAAATTCTGTAATTATTTTCATGTTGCCACTTTTTAGAATATACTTGTTTTATTAATACTGTTGGTAAACCATGACAGTTAATCAATAGTTCAGTAGGTTAATCAGATTCTGCGATTAAATGAGTTGATTTTTTGGTAAAGATCATGTTTTTTTTTTGTCTCAGTACAAAAGTTATCATCGATATTGTGTCTTTCGTTCTTTATTCTAACTGTAGAATAGACGAGTAGACTATCATATAGTACGATCTTGCCTAAAATGCTGGCATATTTTAAGAGTATTCTGATCAAATGGTTTAGTTTTAGATAATTTGTATGACTCAGGTCGAAAAATGCACATTCATATTTGATTGCCTTTGTGAATGAAGTTGTACTTATCGGCCATATAGATTTCGTAGAATTCACGTATCTTCGTCTGTTTTCTCAAAGTTTCTGAGTAATAGAAAAAAAAAGCACTACACAATTTTGTTGAAACTTAATTGATTGAATTACGTTTTTAACTGTTCTAAATAATGTAGACTTTGATTTTTTTTCTTAGATAAAAGTTTATATTCAAGATGTCAAGGATAATTAGTATTAATGCATTAATTTGTCTCATTCATTATATAATCGACATAAAGAAAAAAAAAAACGTAATCGATCAAGTTATACCTTTTCGCGAATATTTCAATATTAGTATTGTTGAGCTTATCACGATAGACTATAGTATGTTGAGACTTGTTATACATATTAATAGATATGTACAACAAAATTTATTTGACAGTCAAATGAATGATTAAGATCCTAATAAAATTGATTTATGTTAAACATAATATGAAAATGTCAAGCAACAAGATAAAATAAATAATCAAAATTTTTTATTCGAAATATAGAAATGAATAAAAGATAGATTATAAGTATCCTTTTCTTCTAAAATAAAGATGATTTTATTTCATTTAATCAGATAGATTCGAACAACAATAAAAAATAAAATTTCATATTTACAACAGGAGGAGACAAGACAAAAAAAAAATCTCTTCTTCTTAAATGAGAACAATATATGAATACAATAGCAGACAAAGTTTATATACAAGCATGTACTGTCGGTCACTTTGCCTCTTATACACGTCATGTACTACACGACAAGATACGCCCATATATGATCGCAATTTATACTGTACAGGTTCCTACATTATTGTTTATGACTGTCATAATGTTTGTCCTGTAGACTTATCGTGACAAATGAAAAAAAATGACACCTTTCGTTTAGTTTTATGGTACATGTTACTAGTAGGTTTTTAGGTCTATTGTTTTAATTTCTTGTTTAGTTTTTGTATCGTACATTGTTTTTTAATGTGAAAATGTATAAAAATATTGATAAAATATTATCTATGATAAACTCATATGTTTTGAATTCATACAATTTTGAATATTTTCTATCAACTTCTGTCATCTATTGACATATTATTCTATTAGATATAATTTTTAGTCCAATATTTCTTTTCTTTTTTTTATAATTCACTCAATAATGTGTGATTCATATGATTACACATAGGTTAATCGAAGAAGAGAAGAGGGTAAACGAATTGTCAGGTTCTATTTACTAAGTTGACGAGACAAATCATCAACGAATAATTATCAATTTTAATCTTGACAAACTATGATTCATTCTATTTCTATTTGTTAACTATTTTCTCTCTTTAAAATTGATTCTTATATCTCATTTCTTTTATATTAAACATTTGAAGATAAATTAAAAATCAATTATGCTCGGAGCTAAATATGATTTTAGTCGAGATCGTGAACGACGAGCTGGTGTTGATGATATGGTATGTATATATTAAAGAAACACACAAAAAGTTAAGGTATTTTTTTTTGATCATTTTAATTTAGGTTTTCATGTCAAAAAATACTGACTCTGATATAAGCCATAATCTCAAAATTCGTTTTGATGTTAATTATATTTATGTAAATAATTTATTATCAATTTTATATTTAATCTTTTTTTTTTAAATATTTTAAATAGACATATATTGGTTCTGTTCTAATTGCTGTAAATCCATATAAAGATGTTGAATATTGTCGTGATAATCATATGGAAAAATATCGAGGAGCTGTAAGTTTATATATTATCTATATGAAATATATATATATATGTCATTAGACTCAAATGGATAATGCTCCACATATATTTGCTATAGCTGAAGATATGTTTAGTAATATGTTAATTGATTCTGAAAAACAATGTGTTATTATAAGTGGTGAATCAGGTGCTGGTAAAACAGTTAGTGCAAAATTTATTATGTCTTATATTGCTGAGGTAAGGTTTAGTAGAAAAAAAAAAGTAAATGTATATATATATATTATTTGTTTGTCTTTCATCTACTGAAAGGTATCAGGTGGTGGTCCAAATGTACAACGTATTAAGAGTGTTATTTTACAGTCCAATCCATTATTAGAAGTAAAAACTTCTACATATATTTAACAGATGCAACATATATAGTGGCATTATTTGTATTTTTTATTTTATTCGAGAGAATTGAAAAAACATAGAACTTATTTTCGATATGTGCCTATTTTTAGAGAATACTTAATTTTCAATATTATGTTTTTAAGCGAATGAGATATGGTATTGTCAAAAGAGGCATTGCTCTTTGTCATGATGCAAAATGATGAAATATTCAACGGTTTATCCGGGTTTTCTCTTTCAGAAAAGTCAATATCTATTTGGTAGAGTACAAACTGACCATACATAGTATAATAAACTAGACACTTTTGGCTTCAAAAATCGGAATTTTGCAATAAGTTGTTTGGTTTTTTTTGACTAAGTGACTTATAATATACAGTCGATACACAGCTTTTATCTAAGATTGGGATCGGGACCGAAAAAAGAACAGTGCTTTTGTAAGTCCCTAATAATAACCACAAACTTCAGGATGACTAATTTGACCTTAGAAGAGGCGCCACCTTTCAGTTGGACAAAACAGTACCGATATTTCCGAAGAACATTAAGACATACAAACAAGCTACTTGACATACCTTGTATTTCATGAAAATATTCATTTTATTGAATACAAACTTTAACATTTATCATGAACTTTTCATTGACATCCTTACAAACTGATCGAGATTTTACATGGGAATATTTCACTCTCATTGTTTTTCATTAAATTCCTTCAATTCTTAAGAGAGCATCGGTTCATTGTGATGATTATCACAAACTTTGATAAAAATGACCAATTGCTCTCAAAGTCAGTACATAATGAGATTATTGGTCCTTGAATACATCTAGGCACAACTATCAGACAACAGGTAAATATCCTCCGGGATAAACAAATCATCTTGTGCAAATTTTATATCGAATCTTTTGAAGCTAAGCGAACTTTTTTTTTTAAATCTACAAACATGATCAAAATGAATAGTGCCACTATTTATGATAACATAGAAATATTTGATTTTGTTTTGTTAAAAGGCTTTTGGTAATGCAAAAACAATTCGTAATGATAATTCAAGTCGATTTGTAAATACGAATAATTATTTTCAAAAAAAAACAAAAAAAATTATTTGAATTATTTTAGGGTAAATATGTTGAAATAATATTTTCACGTGGTGGAGAACCGATAGGTGGTGCAATTTCAAATTTTCTTCTCGAAAAAGTAAGTAAAATAAAAATGAAAATCTTTTTGAACAAAAAAAAATTCAATTTAAACACTATTTTTTTTTGCACTAATCTTTTTTTTTGCAGAAGAAATAAAAAAAAAGAAAGAAACATAGAAGGTTTGAATTGAAATTATTTTTTTTTCATATGCATATCATGCACGACTGTTGTCTTCGAATTTTTATTTTTGACAATTTAAAATTTTTAATATTTAAGCATGTCTTTTTTTTTTGTTCTAGTCACGTGTAGTTAGTCAAGCTGAGAATGAACGTAATTTTCATATTTTTTATCAATTATTATCAAGCAGAGAATTTTGTCGTATGTGTTGTTGTTGTTGTTGTTGTTTCGTATTAATTTTTGTATATCATAGAACAATATTCATTATCACATGAACTTCGTTTTCAATATATTAATCATGCTGAATCGAGTAGAGTTGCCAAAATTGATGATACAAAAGAAATGCAACATACACTCGTATGTTTTATACGTGATTAAATTGTTTTTTTTTCTTCTATATTAGAAATATATTGTCTTTTTTTATTAGCATGCAATGGATGTTATGGGTTTTTCATCAGAATCAAAACAAAGTATATTTAGTTTACTCGCTGGTATATTACATCTAGGCAATGTTCAATTTGGTGATAAGAATAATTATGCTACGGTTCTATCAGAACGAGGCATGTACTATTTCTTTTTTATTTCTCGTATTTAACAATGTTCTGATTTTTTTTCAGATCTACAAGCTCCTTGTGCTTATTTTGGTATTCAAATAGATTATTTAAAAACGAAATTAATTTCAAAACGACTCGAATTTAAAGAACATCAAAAAAATGAACTAATCGATCAAACATTTACTGTTGATAAAGCTATATTTACACGTGATGCATTAGCTAAATCAATTTATTCTCGTATTTTTGATTATCTTATTCAAGTAAAATTAATTTTATTATTTATTTTATAAAAAAACTTATTCTTTTTTTTTCCTTCTTCTTTTTTAATAGGCAGTTAATTCAGCATTTCAAACAACAGCTAAATCCGATTTATCTATGGGTATTCTTGATATATATGGTTTTGAAATATTTGAACGAAATAGTTTTGAACAATTTTGTATAAATTATGTTAATGAAAAACTTCAACAAATATTTATTGAATTAACATTAAAAAAAGAACAAGTTCGTTTGTTTTTATTTTTGAAATTCTTATTTTTATTTATTATATTTAGGAAGAATATAAACGTGAAAATATTCAATGGACACCAATATCATTTTTTAATAATATTGTTGTTTGTGATCTATTTGAAGCTAAACAACCACCAGGAATGTTTTTATTACTTGATGATATATGTCTTAGTTCACATGCAACAACAGAAAAAGTTGATAAAAGTTATTTACATGTAAGATAATGTGAATTTTTTCAATTTTTTTTTTGTTTTTTTGTAAATTTATTTATGTTTTTAAGAAATTAAGTAGTTTATCAAATCAATATTTAATTGTTTCACCACCAACATTTACTGTTAGACATTATGCTGGTGCTGTTATTTATCATTCAGATCAATTTTGTGAAAAAAATAGAGATATTTTAAATATTGATTTAATTGAAATGATGCAATCAAGTACAATGTAAGAAATAATAATTTTTGAAGAAAGAAAGTTCTTTTTTTTTTGTTGTTATTTCATTTGAATAGACCATTTGTTGTACGACTTTTTCCTGAACAAACAGCAAACATTAAATCTCGACCTACAACAGCTGGTACTAAAATTCGTACACAAGCAAATTTACTTGTAGAAAAATTAATGGGTTGTCAACCACATTGTACGTAAAATTATTCTATAGATTAATTAGAAGAAAAGATCAAGTCATAGATTATGTTTTGAGGCTTACATGGGAAGTTATCTAACTGATAAATCGCCTTTGAGACAAGGCTACATATATTATAAAGATCCTCATCAGCTAGGAATACTCCGAAAAGGGCTCGAATCTTTTAAATTATTGCTAAGAATGTATTGTATTATTATGATATGTTCGCATTTCTAATGAAAACTTCGTACAGAGACAGATCTTGATGAGAACAATTTATTGTAAAAGTGTATCTTTTACATCGTTAATAAGTACGATCAGAAATGAGAAAATTGTTTTCATTTGTGTTGTTAAAGGAGACTACCGCATTCGGATACAAAGATATTTTAACAATGTCGTATCTCCGTTGTACTCCGAGAATATTTAGTCAAGTTTTAATACAAATTCAAATTACGATGACTCTCATTCGTCGCGAAGTCATTTAAATTTTCAGTCTAATTTCAATTATGTATGAGCATCATTATACCTTGTAGTAAAAATTGAGTACTTAGATGCGACACTTATTTCATTGTCTGTAACTATATGTTTGTTCATGCGTTTCAATCTCATCATGTTTTATATTAAATACTATAAACTATCTGTTTTTTTTAGATGTTCGATGTATAAAACCAAATGAGAATCAAGCACCTAGTGAATGGAATTCATCAAGGTAACAAAAAAAAAATATTTATTTCAAAAATTAAAAAATATTTATAAATTTTAAAATTTTTAGTGTTATTGAACAAGTTAAATATTTAGGACTTGTAGCTAATATTGAAGTTCGAAAAGCTGGTTTTGTTTATCGACGTGAATTTGCAAAATTTTTAAGCCGGTATAATACATAATGTTCTTATTTTATTTTTTTATTCTATTTAAAAATTTCAATTTTCTATTTAGATATGCTATATTAACAAAACAAACATGGCCAAAATGGAATGGAAAAGTAACAGATGGTGTTATGCATATTGTTGATACAATGCATCTTGATCGACGTGAAGTACAATTAGGCAATACAAAAGTATTTATTAAATCACCAGAAAGTGTAAGTAATAAATAGATTTTATATACAATATGATAAACATTTTTTGAAAAAAATGATGCATATAAAATTCAACATGTCTCAAAATGAATTATTTTATATGTTTTTAGTTACATATACTTGAAGATATGCGTCTACGAAAATTTGATAATTATGCACGTATCATACAAAGAGCAATGAAACGTTTTTGTGCTGTACGTGTCTATCAAAAACAACGTGAACAAGGTAATAATCTTAAAGTTGTTGTTGTTGTTTTTGGAGGAGATTATTACTTTTGTTTATATATAGCTACTGACATTTTATATGGACATAAAGAACGTAATGCACGTTCACTTGATCGTGATTATGTTGGAGATTATTGTAATCTTCATCAACGACCTGATTTACAACGATTAATACCACGTAGTGAAAAAACAGATTTTAGTTCATATTTATATAAATATGATCGACGTTTTCGTCGACAAGGACGATATTTTATTAGTACAAATCATGCATTGTATATTATTGATGAAGAATGTGTATGTAAAAGGATTGTATTTAATTTTGTAAAAATAATACATATATATATAGGTTAAAATTGGTAGTAGTGGAAAATCAAATAATTCTACTGTTCAAAAAAATAAACAACAAGAAGGTTATACAATAGAATATAAAATAAAACGACGTATATCATTAGAAAATATTACTGAAATTAAATTGAGGTAAATAAATATGACAAAAAAAAATCTTTAATAAAAAAAAGAAAATTTTTTTTTTTGTTTATTAAGTGAATATCGTGATAATTATTTTTTAATTTGTGTCAATAATGATTATTCAACATTATTAGAATTATCAAGTAAAACTGAAGCTATTTCAATTATTTTAAAAAATTATTTAAAGAAAACTAATCGAGTATTACCAATTACATTTGGACAAGGGTTAAATAATTTTCTTGTAAAAAAATAATTCAAATAGAAATTGTTTGTTTTTGTTTAGATTTGATTATGCAGTTAAAAAACAAAGTTGGATAGGTGGTGGTACACGTAGTGTTAAATTTGCTCATGCAGCTACAGCTGCATTAATGGTAATATTTATAATAAGATTATTATATTATTAATAATATAATTTAATTTAGAATCAAATCGATCCAAATAAATTACGTAAAGGTGTTGATATGCCACGTGATTATGATGTAAAAATTAATCGTAATACAATGACTGTGATGATTTCAAGTGGTTTATCAAAACAATCGAGTAAAATTGATTTTGTACGTTAAATTTCTTTTTTTTTAAAAAGATTTTATTCTCTAGGACCAAATCAAACAAATGCTGAAAAACCACGTGGATTACAATTTAAATCAACGACTAGGTTAGTATAGAATAGATGTAACGGTTTTTTTATTGCTGAACTACAATAAAATTGTTATGAACAACTTTAATTATGTTAATCAACATTTGGTTGTATTTGAAGTACACATACATTTTCGATTAGTTATGATTCAAAAAAAAAGAAAAACTACTCTTTATACTGATCAATTCGTGATAGAGAGGATTTTTTGACTTACAAGTGGACTGATAATCACATTTCTCTCGAAGACAGTTTGTTTCTAGTTGAACGATAAGATGTTTAGAAAAGATATTGCATCATCTTTAGACAAAATTAAATCATATAGTAAAGATATACGAAAAAACTTGTAGGAAGAGACTTTTGAGACAGCCGGTATGACTGAATGTTTAAGATACTCAACACATACTCACAAGGTACTGTGTTCGAACCTTGACTCCATCAGTCATACAATGACCTTGGACAACTGCTTTGTCCGATAACAAACTACCTACGCGGATGAGATACACTAAAAGCTCTTGTGGCTAGTATGTTGTTATTCAGTATTTATGAGAAGATTAAGCAGAAGAACTTTGAGTTAGGTCGGCCTTCTGTCCAGAGCTACATTTACTAATAGATATAGGAAAAATATCGGACTTTCGAAATTGTTCTCGGACAGCATCCTACACCGAAAGATGGTGTATTCTTCTAGTTTGATTTATATTAATATACATCTAATTGATCTAGTAATACTTCTCGAAAACCTCCAGTTAAACCTCCACGACCGGCAGCTGCAAAACCAATGAAACAAAAGAAACTTCGAGCATTATATGATTTTCAAGCACGATCAGCAGATGAACTTTCATTTTTTGCTGATAATGAACTCATACTTATTGAAAATAGTGGTAAGAAATTTGATTCTATTATTTCAATATATTAATATTCTCATATTTATATTTCTTTAGATGAAACTTGGTGGAAAGCAGAACTCGATGGAAAAATTGGTAAGTAATGATTTCATTTTTTGTTTTGGAATTTAAAATTAATTTCTTTATTTATTTTTAGGAGTTGTACCGTCAAATTATGTTGAACTGATTGTCTGATTTTATTGTTGCAATTGAAAGATTTACTCACAGTGACTGTTAATTGCTTTTGTTTTTTCATTAAATCTGTATTCAGTTTTTTTTTTATGTATTGTTTTCTTGTTTCTCATTTTATGCACTTTATTATCTAAACTTGTTTTTTTCTTCTTGTTCACTTAAATGAACTGGGTTTTTGTTTTCTTTTTTTTCTTGAAATTTCATTTCTATACAGATTAATTTTGTCTTTATTTTTATATGTCATTGATAATATTCGCTTCATTATTTGATCAAGTTATTACATATTCCGTATTTGATTTACAAAAAGAAAAAAAAGAGAGAAAAAAAAACATGTGACGTTTTCCCTTGTAGATGTCAATAGTAAATTCCGAATCGATAACAACATCAACAGTAATATCAAATACAAAAAAAGAAAGATTTCGAAGAAAAAAAAGAGACTTTTTTGATTTAGCGAACACCAATTGTAATCATCAAGCCTATTCTTTATGGTAATACAGCGAAACATTTTGGTTCAAAACGAGATTCTGATGGACATACACATAAATGGACATTGTATGTTCGATCATTTAATAATGATGATTTATCAACATATGTAAGTAAAGTACAATTTCGTTTACATGAAACATATCCGAATCATACAAGAAGTAAATTATAAATATAAAGAAGAAAGAGATATTTTTGAATATTTACTTTTTTTTTCTTAGTGATTACACAAGCACCATTTGAAGTAGAAGAAAGTGGTTGGGGTGAATTTGAAACACAGATAACAATTTTTTTTGCTGATCCTAATGAAAAACCAGTATGAGTTTGTTATTAAAATAAAATTTTTTGTATCGAATTTACATGTTCTAGGTAGTATTTTATCATCATTTAAAATTATTTTCAACAGATCCAGATGTTGTTGCTGGTACAAAAGCATTAGTTAATGAACATTATGATGAATTGGTAAATTTTTAAATTCAATATCTGGAAAAACAAAGACATGTTTATTCTCGTTGAAACTTTCATAACTATCAAATGACTATTAAATCTACTTATAGACAATATTTCATCTCGATATTGTTTGTTTCGGAAATACTCGCAGACATAGTATAGACTTCAACAGTTGTACATATACTCTTGTCAAAGATTAGAAATTTCAAAGGTGTCGTCATCATAGGGTGTGGGTGTATGAGAAGAGACTACACCCACACCATCTTACAGATCGAAATTGTATTGTTAACTATCAGTGCACGATTGAATTTCATAGTAATTTCAGTCAATATTCATAAATATTTTCTTTGTTTCTTTATAGATTTTTCAAGAACCATCTGATTTATTAGCTCGTTTGCTCAATTGTGCTAAATCACTTGCACCACCAACAGATGAAAATTTAGCAACAGAAAAAGAATGTATGTAATAAAACTATATTAATAATATTAAAAGAAAATGTTAAATTATTTTAGATGCTGCAAAAAAATTTGATACAATAACACGTATAAAAAATGCTCGACAACGAGTACGAAATGAAATACAAGATCTAACTGAACGTCTTCGTATTACTCAAGAAAATATAAAACGTGTTCGACAAAAATCAATAGATAATAATTCTTCTATGGGTACATTTAATATATCAACACATGATAATATTAAACGTGAAATAGTCGATTAAAATTGAAAGAGAATTTGTATGGACTTTATTTTGTTGTCTATCATTGTAAATAATGTAAAGATATTAAACTTTACTCATTAATAAAAAAACAAAAGGTTTAGAATAAGAGCAGAAATTCCAAAGTAGAATAAAAATACGCAAAAAATATAAAGCATATCTTACAATATAACAGCTGATGTATAAAGAATTGCACTTTTAGTATTTTTGAAAAATTTTCCTTTATTATTCATATTGATTAAAACACTTTGTTTTTAAATCAAAAGATACCGCTTGAAATTACATTTTATTTAATAAATGTAGCTTTTAACAGAACGTTGTCAACTCACGTGATATATGTAAGGTGTAGCAGTATCGGTAGGTATGTCCAGTTGTTTTCTAATATTTTCCTGCTGGATTTTAGAGCTATTGGAAGGGTGCCATTGATATATCTTTCTACGTTCTTGGTTTTATGGTTCCAAATCATCGACAACGTCAGCCCTTGCCCAAATATACCTAACTATGCTAGTACCTCTATCTGGAATTTTATATATTTTAATGCACAGTCACTTTCTTGTTGGTCTTCTTCCTGAACACAACTCACACCGAGTTGATTTGAGCACTAGCAATGGTCGATGGGTTTAACTGGCTGAAGCTACGAATTGGAGCCATGTTACAACAAAGATAACATTAACAGATGAAAACGGTCCGCCAGAAAAAAGTATAAATGAAAATAATTTATTTTTTTACTTCATTTGTCTTAAATACCATCTTGCCGAGGACTTCAAGCGCTATCTTTTGACAGCAAAATGTGTTTTAGTCAAGGGGATAATATAGGAAAATTTCAAATATACTAAGAGTCCAATTCTTTATGAGCCATCCATTAACAGCTGCATAAAATAGAATATTATTTGATTATATACAGTAAGATAATAAAATCATTAGAAGAAGAAATAGATTGGATTTTTTCTTGTTTTACAGCAGTAATAAGTTTTCTCGCACCATCAATATGTGCTATTTATCTTTTAGTTATTCCATGCAAAAGAATTAATGAAGAATTTTGCATGATTATAATAAGAAATATATTAAGAATGTTTTTTTTCCACATCTACAAGCAGTCAAATTTCATTTTCTATTTTTTTTGGAATGTTACTTTTTGCATTATCTTGTTTTGTTATAATAACTGTTAGTCTTCATATTGTAGATAGATTTAATAGTTATTAGACAGTCGTGAAAGCTTGAAACAAAATGAACATATCTCTGTCGAAATGTTCAATTTCGAAAAAAAAAACAGCTGTTTACCATAGGAGAACATAATAATATAGTCTATTTGAAGATTGAACATCTCGAAAAAAGACATGTTTGTTATTGTTAAAACGTGTATGACTATTAAATCTACCTATAGATAAAATGTCACTTTGAAACTGTAAGTTTTGAGTTTTTCGGATATGTCTAGACATGTTTTTGTTGTTTTTCTTTGTAAATAATGTAAAGATATTAATCTTTATTTATTAATAAAAATAAAAGGTTTCAAACAAGATCATGACTTTGAAGGTAGAATAACAACAAGTAAAATATGTAAGGTATCTATTAAAATACTTTTCAATGGACTATAATCCTTATCATCTAGTAATTGTCAACAATTTATTTTGACATAAACCTTGACAAAATAAAAGGTAGATAAAACACAAAAACTGTGATATACACATCAGCTATTAAATCATTACGAATCAAAATGGTGACTGCAATCACCAGTGTCACTTTGCATTGGGCGGATATATTAGTCTTGATTGCGTATTTTGCAATAGTTATTGGATTTGGTCTCTGGGTAAGTTCATACATTTATATTCTCAATATAAATACTAAATATGAATGAATTGTAAGTTTTTCGTAGAACTTGTACAAGCAAATGAAAATTAACCTAAACGATTTATAACTAGTACATTTTATAGTACTCTATACCTAGAATACACAGCGAAAGTTTCCCCTAAGATTTTCTGAAATATGAAGCGAAATGTATATGATATAGTTCAATTATGTTTAATTCAGTAAAAAAGACTTGGCTTGACTTATTGAAAAAGCTTTTGTTACCTTTAGCTAGACGACTCTGGAAAGTGTTAAAGGATTTTTTTTTTGTCACAAATTCTTTCCATCTTATGTGAACTAGCTGATATGCTAAACGATGACCAACTATATTTCATATAAACTTTGTCTTGATATATTTGTTTGTAATGATTTGTTTTTTTTTTCGATTCGTTCTGATTTGATTATGTTATCTTCACTTTACTTTAACTTTTACTCTACCTACAGAACAGAGTAGGTAACCCCTATATATTTCTAAAGTTTAAGAAAAACATGTTAAAAACATGTCTTAGAAACAAAGGTTATAGTGTAGATACTTCAAAATATCAAGTGTATCACAGAAACTGCAAAACACTAGTATAAATATTCACTGTAGGATAACGATAAATGAAAAATTTCTATCGAATTCTACAGTGAGACAGTAGATAAGACTCTATGGTATCCATTATCAAATATCTTACTTTTAATTCATCAATTTATGTGTATCTTTCCTCAATAGATCAAGATATCACTCGAAAAACAAATCGATAAAGAAATGGTCACCGACATTTCATTATTAGTGCTCATTTTCAGATTTGATTCTAACAAAAAAATTAAAAAGAAGAACGAAGAAATTGATAGATTTTTATTCTCGAGATAAACTAAGTATTTTATGATGTTAAGAACTATTTTTATATATTATAAATTACCATCATAAACTTGAAAATAAAATCAAAGTAAAACAAATAATGTCGTTGATTTTATGCATCAATATTGAAAATGAAAAATGTATTGAATTGATCAAAACTATTTTAGTCATCATGCAAAAATCGTGGCAGTGTTGGTATGCATTGAGCATTATTATATTTTGTTTTAATTGATGACTCATTGTTCTTTCAGGAGGGTATTTTCTGGCAGGTCGGTCTATGACATTTTTACCAGTAAGAAATGACTTCTTTCGTTTTGAAAATAAATATTAAATTATCTATCTTTGAGGTTGGTGCATCATTATTTGCTAGCAACATTGGAAGTGGACATTTTATTGGTCTTGCAGGTATTTTCTAATCAGAATTTATTGAATATTTCGTAATGATAGTATGTGTTTTGTTTACCATCGTTTTAAAAGTTTCTCCTTATAATATATTCGAATAAAAACCATATTCAAATTGAAGCAATTATTATTAGATCCATGATAATTTATAGAGTTTGATGATTTCATTTATATTTAATACAATAAATAAATGATGAATAATATAATATTTTTTTAATGCTAAATAGGTAGTGGTGCAAGCAATGGAATTGGTGTAGGTGGTTTCGAGTTAAACGTATGTTACAACACAAACGTTTGATACATATTATAGAACTCATCTTAAATTTAGGCTGGTTATGTATTAATGATTCTCGGTTGGGTATTTTTACCTGTTTATATCAAAGCTGATGTAAGCTAAAACACAAAAACTCAATCTTGAATAGATTGAATTTTCATAGATCAGATAGCATTACTGATTTGTCTATTCACGTTTTCAATTAGGTTTATACAATGCCAGAGTTTCTTAAGAAAAGATTTGGTGGTGATCGGATACGTTTCTATCTTACAATTCTTGCTTTATTACTTTCTATATTTACAAAAATATCTGTTGATCTTTATTCTGGTGCTATATTTCTTAATCAAGCACTTGGTTGGAATATGTATGTATCAGTTATAGCTCTTGTTCTTCTTGCTGCTATATTTACTATTGGTGGTAAGTTAATTAAAATATAACAAAAGAGAATATTTTCTATATGATTTGTGTTTTTTTTTCAGGAGGATTATCAGCTGTTATTTGGACAGATTTTATTCAAACAATTATTATGATTATATCTGCTTTTATTCTTATGATTATTTGTTATGTTAAAGTTGGTGGTATACAACTAATAAAAGAACTTTATCCATATGCTGTTTCTAATACAACATTATATAATGAAACAGGTTGTGGTATACCACCACAAGATTATTTTAGTCTTATTCGACCACTTGATTCAGCTGATGGTCCACCATGGGTAGGAATTATTGGTATGACTATTTTAAGTATTTGGTACTGGTGTAGGTTAGTTATAGAATAATAAACAAAAAACAGGAAGAATAAATTAATAAATATTTTCTTTTTCTTTTTTCTAGTGATCAAGTGAGTATATATGAAGACTTTTTTATAAGACTAACTTATAATGTTTAGGTTATTGTTCAACGAGTACTTGCTGCTAAGAATTTAACTCATGCTCGAGCCGGTTGTATAGTTGCTAGTTATTTAAAATTTTTACCTCTTTTTCTTATGATTATTCCTGGTATGGTTGCACGAATACTTTTTCCAGGTAAAGTAAACACTTATTGTAAAACAAAAATATATAATTGTTGATCTAAGATGAAATTGGTTGTTCAACTCCTGAAACTTGTGAACAAATCTGTGGCAATAGAGCGTCATGTACTGATATTGCTTATCCATTAATTGTAATTAAACTAATGCCTAATGGTTTACGTGGTCTTATGCTTGCATGTATGATTGCAGCATTAATGTCATCATTAACATCAATATTTAATTCTTCATCAACTATATTTACAATTGATATTTGGCAACGTTTTCGTTCAAAAGCACCACAATGGGAATTACTAATCGTTGGAAGGTAAAAATAATTACAACATAAAAAAAAAGCAAACGGAAAGTCAATTCTTTTTTTTTTGAATCTAAGAATTTTTACACTAATACTAGTGGGCATATCAATTGTTTGGATACCGATTATATCAGCAGCACAAGGTGGTAAATTATTTGATTATATTCAGTAAGAAAAGAAATTTAGTAGAAAGCAAAAAATAATTGAGTTTTTTGTTTCTTTTTAGAGCAGTAACAAGTTTTCTAGCACCACCAATTTGTGCTACTTATCTTTTAGCAATTCTATGGAAACGAATTAATGAGGAAGTTTGTATGATT